TAGAGGATTACCGGTCACACGCTTGTCTGTGTTGGTAAACACTTGGATTAAGGGTTCGGCCTGAGTTTTTTCATTATTATTCATATACCTATTATTATATTTATTATTATTACTACAGCCTGTCTAAAAAAAAATGGTACAATAAAATAGGTTAAATATGAAATTTCAAAATAAGTCATTCTTACTTGGCATAATATTAAAGAACAAAGACTGGGCTTTCCAATAGTATTTGTTTGATCTTATTTACTACTAATATTTATTATTATTGTTATTATTATTATTATTATTATTATTTATTCGGCATTAAAAACACAAACAACAAACATTCACATATAGAGAAAACCAAAAACTAAGAAAACAAAAACGAACATGACGAAAGCCAGGGGCATATGCCCGGAATTAAAAAAGTTTACCTAAAAACTGTGGCCCGAAGGCCTTCAATTCCAATACCTCTGGCTACACAAAGAATATATATAAATCTATAAAAATCTATAAAAATGTGTTAACAAAAAAAGCATATATTAAAAATGGCAGAGGTATAAATGCTAAAAAGTTATCGTCCCCTAAAATTAACACAAACAAGATAAAAAGCAAAAAAAAAAAAAAAAAAAAATAGTCCAACAAAAAGAACGGGTAAAAAATTCCCCCCCCCCCCCATTATAGTTCAAAGACCCAATTATTGTGGATGTCCACATTAAACATTAAAAAAATTAAAAAGTTTCAATACACGCAATAAAAAAAACAAATATTAGAAAAAATTAATAAGGAAAATAATTCAACAAAACATGAGAAAAATGCCACCCCCCCAGTAAAAAAGGTTTCGTTGCAAGTAAAAAGACGTAATATTACCCCAGAGAAAAAAAAAACAGTTGAGAATTAGCCAAAAAAAAAAAAAAGCACGACAAGTTCTTTTCAGAACTAAACATCTGCTGAGCAGCAGTTATCACCACATGGTGTTACTGCAAACCGAAATGATACAAAAAACCCTATTAAACAAACGATATACGCCTTGAAGCTATGCATGGCAGCTGGCATTAAAGTGGACAGAATCACGGGCAATGCCATGTGGAAAGAAATCTCTTCCTGGAAGAAGTATGGTTCTGAAAAGAACCGGTTTTCAAGAAGAGATCTCCCTCCACACGGCGCCATCCGAAACCCTTTTCACTTTAAAGCAAGAGATGAGATAAAATATCACCCCCCCCCCAGTTAAAAATACACAAAGAACTAAAAGGACCCAGTACAGTTACTGTGGTCGGCAGAGGTGGCATCTTAGGGAATTGATCCAGCTATTTAATGACATTTCAACGACGCCAGACCTCTGAGATTCCGGTAGCTCGTCCCATTCACGAGCAAACACATTCACTGCAGAGCCGTGAAGTCTTTGTGTGCGAGCTCTAAATGACAAAACCGCTCTGTTTCTGGGTGTCGACCGTTGACCACAATGCCGTGTCTAACAATGTTATTAGTAATGAGGCCATACAGTGCTTTCATGACATGTGAGATAAAAAGGAACTTGCGTCGTGCCACAAGAGAGGACCAATTTAAAAGATTCAGTCGGTCATTGTAGTTCATTTCCATTCTTCTCAGTTTTAGGATCATTCTTGTAGCGCGACGCTGAACACTTTCAATCTTATCAATGAGATTATTATTATGAATGTGCCACACTGGCTGACCATATTCTAAAATGGGTAAAACCAAGGCATTGTAGAGTGCTAATTTGACCTCCTGAGATATGTCCTTGGCAACACTAAATATGAAGCCCAACATTTTGTTGGCCTTAGAAACAACATAGTTCACGTGATCATTCCAAGTTAATTTACTGTTTAAAACAATACCCAGATATTTGTAATTTGCGACAACATCAAGAGGAGAATTATTAATATTATACGTAGGAACACCGGGATTTCTAGAACAAGTTATACGCATAACTTTCGTTTCCTTAATATTTAGATTCATCCTGTTGTCTACACACCACCTGTGGATTTGATTAAGATCCTCCTGTAAAATACGTTCATCCTGTTGGCAAGATATAGGTCTGAATAATAATGTATCATCTGCAAACAACAGACAGGCAGAAGAAGTACATGAGGGAAGGTCATTAATAAACAAGTTGAACAAAAGCGGCCCTAAAACACTACCCTGGGGGTACTCCTGATGATACTGGAAGCCAGGGTGAAAAGCTACCTTTGTACAGAACCCGCTGATAACGACCTGAGATGAAAAACTTAATCCACTTCCAAACATTGCCAGTAATATTGTATTGACAAGCTAGCTTTTGAAGTAGAATGTCATGAGGCATTACATCAAAGGCCTTTGCAAAATCGAGAAAAACGGCATCAATTTTGGGTGGACTAGGTTTATCAAGAATGGTTAGCCAATTGTTGGTAACATTCAGAAGCTGAGTCACACAGGATCGCCCTTTTACAAACCCATGCTGCTTGGATGACAAAAGCAAATGATTTGTGACATGGGAAGTTATGGCATTGGCAATAGTGGATTCCATGATTTTACAAACCACCGAAGTCAATGCGATGGGACTGTAGTTAAAGATCAAGCCTGTGTCACCAGACTCAAAACTTGGGGTGATATTTGCCCTTTTCCAAAGAGTAGGAAGCTTGCCTTGTGACAAGGATATACAAAACAGGTCACGAAGAATAGGTAAGATTATCGCCGAGCATGATTTTAACAGCCGGGGCGTGATATTGTCAGGTCCCGGGGATTTATCATTGGACAAATGATCGATAATTCGTTGAATATCGCCACTTCTGGTTGTGTCAATTTGCTTTTGTCAATTCAGAGATATAATCAATTTAGTTTTGGACCTCTTAGTCATATAATGATTATACTTTAACCCAATATTCCCTTGTCTTTTTTCCACGAATTTCGATAATTTTACTAATTAGACCACGAGCAACAAATGTAACCCAATTACGACATTTAAATGTTGCCTCTAAAGGGAGGCTGTGACATTAGGGAGACATGAAAATGTCTCCCTAATGACTGGTGTCTTCCTCCGCTTCAAGAAATTACGATGACATGTCTTATTAATAATAATAATAATAAAAAATAATGATAAATAAATAATAAATAATTCTTATATAGCGCATTACATAAGAAATTTTAATGTCGCAATAGTTTAAAAGCTCAGTACAAAATGTTACTAGAATACAATAAAACGTTTACTTTGAACGTTATTAAAAAGCGTCGAGCACCCTTGCAGAATAGTTGGTAAGCGAATCCTTAGAACGGGTGGCAATGGACATCATGGGTCGGTTTCCCACGGCACGAAATGGCAACTCTACATCTTGGTCATCGGAGATTATTTTTCAAAGTGGTTTGAAGGCGAGAAGGCTTAGAAACTGTAGCTAGGAGATTTGTGCAAGATTTTGTGTGCAGGTAGGGGACCCCGTCGGTAGTAAAATGGTTCCATTTTCAAATTGCATTTTATTTTCATTACACTGCCGATAACACCGGACGTAAGGTGGCTTTGTGCCTTGGAATCCGAAACATTGCCCCTAGCAACGTTTAACTTATTACAAACATTGTACAACACATATAAGCCGATTTAATGACGTCATCAATTAAAGTGTGCGAAATGAATAATGGTTAAGCTCAGAGAAAATTTATTTATTTATTTATTTATTTATTTCTTCTTTATACTGGGTGGCCCATTCAGTCCTTTTATCAGAACTGATCTCCCAGTACGAGTAATGATACAATAAAACCTTATTTCAACATTAAAATTGAAATGGATAACATTATATACATGTGTGTAGCCTATATTTAACATTGCACAGTATTGAAACGTTATTTTAAAAACGGAAAGCAAAAAATGTCTTGAAATTGAGCGTTAAAAATTGTACCTTACAATAAGCCGGGGAAAAATCTATTTCATCTAAAAGTAGCCGCTATAGTGCCCAACAAAAGGCACATTATTCAATCCCTCAGAAATAATGGTTGCATATTTGATGATCACAATTGAGAAAATCAATACAACAAAATCATCAATAACCCAGGTAGTTAAGAGTTAAAATGGTTGATAATGGTCTGGACAATTGTGGGAAATGGATCTTTTAACCTTGCTGGCAGGTTATTTCAGGCTTGGGCACCCCAATAAATAAATAAAAAAAAAAAAAAAAAACACACAATTCAAACGCAAGTATTGAATGTTATGTAAAACTTGTAAACTTGCGTCAGTTACATGTTTTTCTCGTCGTACCTCTAGTATGGAGGCGTTACAGTGCCCTCATTTGCTCAAAGTAAGGTCTGCTTGTGTAGACTTGAAGTCAAGTCGGTAATTGGCCGTGTTGAGATTGCCTGAGGCGAACCGCGCGCCGCGATACCGCATACCGCACCTGATACGTGAAGCGTGCAGTATTGCTCTTACATGCGGGTCCGAGTGTTTGTACATCTTCGACACCAAGTAAACGTCGATTCAAATTGTCGAAACCTATAATATAAGACGTTATACATTGCACCGTGCTAGTATTGTGGGCACCAACAGATAAACACGACTTCCTCGCGACTCGTCCTCAAGCCTAGCAGCCTATTGGACCACAGAATAACGGTTGACGCAGCTGAAAGCACACTGACGTTGAATGCTCAGTTGTCATCAAACTCGGGCCGGATTGCACTCAAATTCTCGCAATGCACTCGGTCAAATGAAAAATAGGTCTGGAAGTAAATGGGATTAACAATGTACTTTTTAAGAGCTGTACAAACCTTGTGGTTATCTGGACTTCAGTAAAATTTGCAAATCTATAAATTCTGAAGTAAAAACATTCATACTAAACAGAGATTGCTTCCTGAAAAATTGCGAATGTTTATATTGCACGTATCTAAACAAAAGGAAGACTGTTTTATTGTTTTATTGCTTTAAGTGCAATGTACGTATCTAATTAAAATGAAGATTATTTCTCTTCTAGCTAAGTATCTAAGGAGGTGTGTGACAGGATAACTTGAATGCGAAATTATTGTGCAACTTACGTGATGAATTTTACTGTCATCCATGTCACTTAGGACAGAGACTAGATCTGAGAAACTTGGTCTGTTGTTCGGATCCTCTTCCCAGCACTTACGCATCAGGGCGTAACTGAAAATAGTAGCAGTGAAACCGTATTAGTGAAGATTTGTCTGTTATGTTTTTTTCGGATCCTCCTGTAAGTACTTAATGAAGGCATAATTCAAGTAAATGAATGTTTTCTGGAGAATACATTATTGGTCACATTAATTAAAACTCTTGGAGAGAATGTGACGGTTCAATCCTTGTGCATGTGCTCAGGTTCAACCATATGAGAAGGGCAGACAATATTCCTTTGACCACCACCAAAAACATAGATTGCTGTAACATTTTTTTGTATAGTCTTAAGCATTAACTTTGTTTCAGCAAATGATATACTCATAAGCGAAATTCAACAAATGCCTAACTACGATTTTTTTGCGGCTTGTCAAAAATTTGTTCCATTATCTTTTTTCCCATCTTACCGACCTTCGACAAGGCTCCGAATTTGTTCCAGTATCTTTTTTCCCATCTTACCGACCTTCGACAAGGCTCCGAATTAATTTACACCCCACACATCTTTGTTGTTTTTCAAAGGGTCCGGCTTTGGCAAAACAATGTACAGTGGATTTAACGTCGTTATGTTCCACCAGGGCTTTTCACTTGAGTGCTCTTCGGATTTGCTTTCCTGAAATTTTACTCAGAGAACCAGCACTGTGGACTAATTCACTTTCATAAGATTGCCGGAGAAATCTACCCGTTGTAGTTTTGCGACTATAAACAACCAAGAAAGTGCTTGGTAGTCAGTGATTATCTGGATTTTTGCTCCATGTAGCAGATAATATGATTATGTCTTTAACTCCAACAAATGCTAAGACACTTTTCAAGCTATGGTAGTTCATTTCTGATTTACTAAAACCCCTTCCTTCGTTAAGCTACATCTTTTTCTGAATAATCCTGACTTTAGAAAGATGTAAGCTAAATAAATCAATTGATGCATCGGTTTGGACGATAAACCTTAAACTTCGAACCATCAGACGTCAACAACTGGAATGCCGGTAAGTTTCTTAACCGGCAAAACTATACACCTGTTAAGTACCTATTAAGCTTACATCTCACCTTTTGTCGTTGCAGCTGCTGGGCTTGGGCATACGGTATCCTCCCTTCAGCTTCTTGGCTAGTGACTCGCTCTTAATGGTCGAGTAGGGGGTTCCCCCTGCACAATAAACGTTAAATGTGAATTAGAATAATATCGGTACCAAGGGAAAAGAACCCATTTTGTAGTTTTGTATAAGAGAATAATAATGGAAGTAAAGTTTCCTTAAACCTTTTGATGAAATGTGGTCTATTTTTTTATTTGACCTAAAAATGGGTATGATTTTATGTAGAGCAGGATTTTTCTTACCTATGGTGACTATTTCCCACAAGAGAATGCCGAAAGACCACCTGATGGTAAGAAAAAAAATAAAGTCAACAATTATTGTAGCGGGGCCGAATATCTTGAAAATAAATTTAATGTACCAGGTTGTTGCCCGTCATCAACCATAAAATACTCCATTATGATAAACAAGGTCCTTTGTACTTACACATCGCTCTTTGTAGTGTAACTCTTATACCTGATTGACTCAATAGCCAACCAGCGGACTGGAACACGTCTCTATAATCAAATGAAAATCCACAAACATGAAATCTAAGCCCAATAAAAGGTCCTCTAAAAGGTTTGACCAGGAATCCGGGTCATTATGGCCTTTTAATATTTCAGGTCAAAGTGACACTTTTTTGTGTGTCAAGATTACACTTTTGCCAGTCAAAATGACCCCAAATGACCACGAGTAGTGTCATTTTGACCGAAAAAAATCCTAATTTTGACCCGGAATTATATCACGTCAAATATGACCCGGATTCAGAATCAAATCTGATCGGGACCTTTGAAAAAGGGATTGCCTTTATTTTTCACAATTCATTTGTACGGAAGACGGATAGTGCCACTCAATGAGTGTTAATATATTTATTTTGGTGCGTGTGAAAATATTTTGTGTACAGCGGCCGCCACTAATTATGTGGCGGCCGCCACATAAAAAGTGTGAATATTTTTGTGTACGTGTGAAAATATTTTTTTTTGTACAGCGGCCGCCACTTATTATGACGACTTATGTGGCGGCCGCCCCTTATTATCTGGTGGCCACCACATAATAAGTGGCAGCCACTGTACACAAAAATATTTGAGTAGCTGGAAATTTGACTTGAGAACAAAGGACTTGGGTAAGGGGAAGATATATCTACAATATACACTTCAGTGTTTATTCTCAATAGTCTAGTAAAAACCTCATGGAGAAATGGTCTGCGACTTTGGAATAAAGGTCTAGATTTGAGTGAAAACAGTAAAAATTACCCTTGATGTTTGGACATAGATGTCCTCTCCCCTGGACAGTCCAAAGTCTGAAACCTTAGCAATTAGCCCTTCAGATAGTAGGATGTTCCTAGCAGCCAAGTCTCGGTGGATCACCTTTTAAGATCAAAGAACACAATAAAAATGCCTCTAAATCCATTTTGCAATTGTTCATTGATTCTCCTTGCGAATAAAACCGTATAGAAATTGCTTCTTCTGAGCAAAAAACAATGCAACGGCTCCTTACCCCCGCTTTAGCAAGGTGCTCCATTCCGTTGGCAACATCCAGAGCAAACTTGACCAGCTGATAGGAAGACAATGCATCCTCGTCTGAGTCTGACTGTGAGCGAGCCGTCCGTAGGTAGCTGCGCAGATCACCGCGGGGAAGATACTCCAACGCGACGTACAACACCTCTGTTAACAATTAAAATAATGCATATCCCTTTGCTAAGACAATATGTTGACCATCGCATTCGAAGCTGCTGGGAACGGCAAGAGACCGATCACCGATCAAATGTAAGCCGCGCCCCATGTTTTGACCAATCGCAGTGGTGATTGTGAGTGGAGAAGTGCAAGTCATTGTATTTCAAGCTGAGGAAAGCTGCATCAGATTCATGCTTACCGTGTGCAAAGCAATACGATTAGCGAATTACTCATCTTATTTAGCAGGTCCGTCAAATTGGGCCCAGGTCAAATCACAAACATGTTTAGGAAAAATTTGTTATTTAAAGAAATTACTATATGATAGAAATCTGTAGCGCTACATTAAATTAAAAGGTGTCTTTGTGTCCTATCTGGTGGCTGATTTCGTTTTTGTTCAGTTCATTTTTCAAGAAATTGAAATCCATACGTCGATGCTGACATGCACCAAGCAGCAAGACAACATTTGGATGGTGGCCGATAGACGTCGTCGTGCGGAGTTCATCGATGAAATCATCTCGCTCACTCATCAATGAATGGCCTGTTCGAGAAATAAAAACGATGTTAAAAGTAACAATCAAATAAAAAGCGTACTGATTTTGTGTATTTTAACTGTGTGCTGATTGGAACAGACCGATCCATTAGGCTCGCCCATTGCACTCACAGACAACACTTGCACCTCTCATAATTATGCTCCAGCCGCGTGCCGTACATAATCAAGATTGTGATTGGTCCAAACGCCATAGGGTGGGGCTTAATGGATTGGTTTATCGCCATTGGGCCTCTGTCGGATATGTAATAACCTGACACACTAAGTAGAGGTCACCTTTGAGCATCTTGATGGCAGCCCTTGTCAGTTCTCCATCTTTCATCACACCACCTGATCGCACCTCACCAAAGTTCCCACTACCGAGGACTCGCTCACCGACGATGAGGTCGCAGCGAGGCACCTTCCACCCTTCAGCCCAAGGAGGTAGATGTTCCTCATCATCGTCATTACTGGAGATCATCGGTGTTTCCTCTTGTGGTGGTATGGTATCGTCATACTCGTGTTCATCTACGTCCTCAGGTGAAATCCTGTCCTCGTATTGGTGTGCAACCTGCTGTGAGATTTTGTACTCGTAGTTGTGTGGCTCTTGCGGTTTAATGTTTTTCTCGTATTTGCGTGCAGCCGGCAGTGCAATTCTGTCTTCGTATTTGTGTGGACCCTGTGATCCAATTCTGTCCTCACATTCCACTTCCGGTGACCTGCCAACCTCAGATTGACATTCAGCAGCCATTATGGAGGTGTGTTAACCCTAAAGGGGCCGGGTTATTTTGACCATCTCTCAGCCGGGGGGGGGGGGAGCGGATCCGGCCATCGAGTGACGAAAATTTTTGAAACTCAGCACATGCATAGAGCAACTCTTCCTAAACATGCCCAAGAAATTTCATGACTATATGTCAAAGGGTTTTGGAATTATGGCTAATTAATTATTCAAATGTATGAATGGCAATTCTGCTTGGTGAACACGACGTATATGCGAAAATTCAGTTTTCACGGCGCGTAGCGCCGGAAAATTTTTCGCTACGTGCCAACCCGTTGTCCGATTTTTATGTTTTTGGTATCAAAAGATGCGCAAAGCTCGACGCTAAACAGTCATAACAGCTCGGGTCGCGAAAAAAATTTTTTTAGAAGCTATCGCGGAAAATGTTGAGGGGGGGGGATTCCGCCCCCCGGCCCCTTTAGGGTTAAACCAGTCTTAACCTTTCCCATAGTTCAGGTTGTGTTTTATTCTCAAGAATTAGCGGCTGCCGGCGCCCTTTGATAGGGCAGTCCGGACGAGTAAAGGACTGAATGCTACGAGTGAAAATGAACATTCATTGATTGCGTCACCTCGTACTGTTCACTGAATATAAAGATGTACATTTCAATTAAGATATGAACATGGAAACGGAAAATATGATTCCACACTCATTAACAGAAATGAAGTTAACGAAACATATTGCTTTGCAGTCACAATATTATTACCGAATTATAATACTGCGAATCTTAATATTAATTTTAAACCTTCGACTGTAGAGCCTGTAAAATGGGATCCAGCTTTACGACTGACATTTTGTCAAGTACTGACTGCCTAATTACAAATCGCAAGAAGACTGCTGTGCCATTCATAATTAAAGCCGACCTTTACGACTGTGTATCGTAACAAATGCAGGACCATGACGTGAAATGACACTCCTGGTTTTTAACAAAGTCCCCCCCCCCAAAAAAAAACCCATACAATTGAACGGAACTTGCTCTTGACAATGATGACAGCAAACTTCTGTAATTCATTAAAGAAAACATATGTGATTCATGGGCGTCGCCAGGATGGGGCAAGAGGGTTGCCCCCCCCCCCCCTTTGAAAAGGAAAAACAATAGAAGAAAAACGAATAAAAACTAGAAATGTGTTTGTGGACAAACACAAGCTGTTTCGGATATTTGAAATACTCTGTGCACGTGATGAACACGTGATGAAGTCACTTCGAATGTCATCTGCCAAGTGAAAAGTCAATCAGACATACAGTGCCAAAGTACATGGTTTGAAGAAAAACGTGTACAACACCTATGGGGAAAATGCATCTTTAATGTGAAGTAACCTTACACCTGATGATGTCACGATCACGAATTTTTTCTAGGACCATCTGTGGGTGGTAGTCTAAGTGTGTACAAAGTCTAATGTCGATCGGATTTACCAAAGTAGAATGTTTTAAAACGTGTACAAACCCTACGGGGAAAAATGCATCTTTAATGTGACGTAAACCAACACCTGATGACGTCACGATCACAAATTTGTTCTAGGACCATCTGTGGGTGATGGTCTAAGTGTGTGCCAAGTGTAAAGTCCATCAAATTTATGAAAGTGCCAAAGTGGAGTGTTTTATGAAAACGTGTACAAACCCTATGGGGAAAATGCATCTTTAATGTGACGTAACCTGACACCTGAGGATGTCACGGTCACGAATTTCTTCTAGGGCCATCTGTGGGTGATAATCTAAGTATGTATCAAGTTTGAGGTCGATCGGATTTACCAAGAGGCCAACGTGGAGTGTTTTAAAACGTGTACAAAACATATGGGGGAAAATGCATCTATAATGTGACGTAACCCGACACCTGATGACGTCACGGTCACGAATTTCTTCTACAACCATCTGTGGGTGGTGGTCTAAGTATGTATCAAGTCTGAGGTCGATCGGATTGACAAAGAGGCCAAAGTGGAGTCTTTTAAAACGTGTACAAAACATATGGGGAAAAATGCATCTATAATGTGACGTAACCCGACACCTGATGACGTCACGGTCACAAATTTCCTCTAGGACCATCTGTGGGTGGTGGTCTAAGTATGTACCAAGTCTAAAATCGATCGGATTTAAAAAAGTGGCAAAGTGGACTGGCTGAAGAAACGTGTGTTAAACCTATGGAGAAAAAGTCTGAAAAAAAAAAAGAAAAAAAAAGAAAAAAAAAAATCTTAACGAAAACAAGAGCTGTTTCGGTGTGTCACCGAAACAGCTAAAAAAAGGAAAATAAATATGTAACCAAATGGGCATCTGCAGGGGTGTCAGTGGGGTGGGGTGGCTAAAGGTTCCCGCCCATCGTCGAAAAAAATGATAAATTGAGAATATGCTAGATAAAGTTCAAGGGTTTAATGGGGGAAATGTGCTGTCCCTCCCCCCCCCCCTAAAAAAATCCTGGCAACGCCAATGATCTGTTTTAATCGGCTAGGAGCCTTAACGTGGATAATGGACTGAGCCGAAGGCGAGTGCCATTATACGACAAGGTCCCAAGCCTATTTTTAACGTCCCTTTTAATACGTTTAATCAATAAATACATTTCTGTCAAAAAGTCCAAACAAATTAACAATTCACACATTTTGAACGATGATTTTCATCAATTCTTCCGGTTTTGTGAAACGCATGCCTCTGGCTATACAGGGTGGATAAGAAAAAAACGAAACCGAGATATTATTGCTAATTGGGACAGAAGTAAGGCACATGTGAATCAAAGGGAGATATCCACTGTTAGGGTTGAATCTCCTCTTTAAAATGACACCCTGGTCATGTCCTTACATTCACGGTTGACTGAGCAGTGACCAATTTTATGAAAGGGTCTACATGTATTTAGAGACTTGCGCCAGTTTCATAGTGAAATCTCTTTTTTCCCATCTGCCTTGATTGGCAACCACAGCCTTTCTATTCGCTCTGTGACAATTGACACAACAAAAATCACAATTGAAAAGTGGCGCAATTCTCTAAATAGACCCTTTCATAAAATTGGTCACTGCTCAGTCAACCGTTAATGGGTGTCATTTTAAAGAGGAGATCCGACCCTAACAGAAGATATCTCCCTTTGCCCTACTTCTGTTCCAATAAGCAATAATATCTCGGGGTTTTTTTCCCCACCCTGTATATTTGGGTTTATTTTTAAGAGTATGTGCTAAAAATCTTTTTTGCGAAACTTGGTGTGCTCGCGGCGCGCATACGCGTACTGCGTGATGTGGCCCAGATACGCAGTGGTAATTTACTCGGTGTCTCAAAACCACCCACGTGACGGGCTCTCGACCAATAGGAATGGTTAAATTGCCTGAGGTATTTGTGAATCCTAATTACTGTCTCCTTGAAATGCTGTTCAACCGAATGGAAATTGATTTGAGAGTGATGGCGGCAAATGATCTGTAATTAATTACTAATTAACGTCTCCTTGAACAGCTCTAAAATAGAACGAAAATTGCTCTTTTGAATGATGGCGGCGGAAGGTCTGAAATTCATTGTCAATTAAAGTTAATTGTCGCGTCATAATCAAATTTTTGTGGTTCCGTTTCGTGCGTGACAGAGGGCTGAGCATCGTAATTATTCGTTATTTAGTGTTCAAGTAGTGCAGGACATGAGGCCTATGCACCTAGTGTAATAATCAGTAGTGTGTTGTACATGAACGTGTTTACAGATAAACCGTCTTCAAAGTCTTCAGCATTAACCGAAGAAACACTTGCGGTATAATGTTATAGCTTTCTGAACACTTCATACCGAAGGGCTTTTACTGCTTTGGGGCTTAACGCTCTTGGGTTCGATCAAGAATTTGAATTCGTCGGTTCCCCCAAAAAGAAAGAAAATAACAGCAGCAAGTTGAAGAACGTACCCTACAAATGGCTAGGAAAGTTCACTTGAGAATCTGGAACTCTGCTGCTTTTTTGAAACGAACCTGGGATGATGGAGCCGCGTACTGCGACCGACTTGGCGGGGAGCTCTTAGTGATAGAGACATCGGAGGAGAATGAGTTCATCTACGGGATACTGAAGAATCAAACCAAGACGTGGGCGTGGCTGGGATGCAGCGATAGATCGACCGAGGGGACGTGGCTGTGCTACGCGGCTGCCAGCGATTTGCCGTTCGAAAACTGGGCAACCGGTCAACCGAACAACGCTAACGGTAATGACCACTGTCTGGCTTTTCACAATACAGATGGTATGTGGTCCGACTCGAAATGCGATGCACAGCTAGTTCACACTGTATGCGAAACCACCAGCATCCAAGAGGACGAAGGCGTCACCCCTTCTTCATCAGCTACTCCCATGGCTTGCTACACTCTCGGCTCAGATGGCCGCCTGCGAGTGTAGACCTCCCCTTAGCCTTGTCCATTATTCTGAATGAGACTATGCTTGCCTTGCGATGTCAGACTAAAAGTCTCAGTTTGACGACATTCTCTTAAACTCACTGACTCAGTGACTAAGTCAGTCAGTAAGTCACTAGACTCAGTCAGTGACTCAGTCAGATGTAAGTCGGAGGAAATAATTGCACATCAATCAAGGAACCAACTGTACATGAAGAGTTATCTCTAGAGCAAGATGGATTCCGAGATTCATCGATTGGACCTTTCGTTGTTTTCTCTAAACAAATGGCTTAGACTTTACGAAAGTCTTTAGGCAAACTGTGCCGCTTGAGAAAATATTATAACATAGCGATTTACAAATACATGTATTGACAAAAGTTTTCCTCATTTGTGCGTATGGAATTCTTTATTTCCATTATTCTTTTATTTCGAACACCTTGAAATACGCCAATTGTTCAGCGTGGATCTGTGAATGTTTTACATTGACTTATACTGTTGTTTTGTCTTGAAAATCACTTGACCTCTAACCGGAAGTCAGACATTGAGAATATTGCGCTTTGTCCATTGAATACGGTAGCTTTGTAGCAAGATTGGTTTCACATGACTGACCATGGGACAGAACCATGCTGATTATCACACACCACAGGACATATATGATCCAATGTGTTCTCAGCGACAATTTTCTTAAACTTTTAGACAAAGTGGGTGATAGTAAAATGGGACGGAAATTCATGACTAAAGAACAAGTATCTCCCTTATGCACTGGGCATATTGGCAGATTTCTAATTATGTACATGTATCAAACCAAGGGGGACTGCATTTGAGAGACTTTACAGTAGGAACGCACTCTTTCACAACTGGAGCAACTACAGAGTGAAATATATCAACATCATCACTAACATCTTTATAAAAATCTAAAACATTCTAAGAACAATTGCAAAATTTGGTCAACATGAGCAACAAATCAGCCTCAGCAAATTGTAAAAAATTCTGTTCTGTCTACTACAAAGACGTTTTCTCTAAACCAACAATCAACAAAATTCTATTATTTTTTTTGATTACAAGTCTGTAACAGAGTACTGCTGTCGGTAGCAGCTATAGTTTATATTTGTCCATCAAGTCGTAACATAATTATCTATAATTTTCAGGTCAAATAGGCCTGTCATCATTGATATCAACTCCCTACAGGATGAATATTCACTGCCCTCAGCAAGTCAAAGTTTGCAGTTTACCCAATAGGCAGCTCACTTTTTAAAAGCAATTTTTTTTTAAATTCTCCATCTGAAAATAGCATGTCTGTGTCTGACATTACCTAACGTACAGACACCATGGCATGTTTCTAAATTTTTAACTTTATGTCAAACTTCAAAAGAATCTTGTTGAAAGATTAGCTGACTGTAACTTGAACTGTACCAACATTTCTGGATTTTTTTTGTGTCTAATTATAATGAAAACTGATTTTCTTCAAACAAACAATATTTTACTGTAAGGTGATATTACAGGATTTAATTTACTATAAGGTGATATTATAGGATTGTAATCAGAAAACAAATTACGTACGTACCGCATGAATAAACAAATAAATGAGTTTGAGCCACATATTTATGTTACTTTCAGATTCTGGTTATATATCTTATTTATCTCCATTAAGCTGTTCATCTCACAAGTTGATGATTGAAGTTGGTAGATACACTGGTTATCTCCACAGGAAAGGTTAATTTGTTCACATTGTCAACTTGATGTTGAAATTACACACGTGACTGCAGCCACTTCCCATACTTCAAGTGTAAGACTATCAAATGATGTAATGAATGTCATAAATGACTTTTAAGTCAGGTACCATGACTTGCTCTGTGCAGCATCCTAATTATGTGGAGCGTGGCATTCATACCGTCCTTCAGCATCAGCGACGGTTGCCTCCTTTGCACCCCGCGGAGTGCAAATAACTCCCTCCTCTTCACTGACGATGCATCTCATGTTAAACTGCGAGCCATGATCGGCCAGGTACCCACTGGTCAGGCCACGGACCTTCACGGGTAACTGAGGGTCCTGGATTGGTTCCCGAAAATAAAAGAACACAAAGGGTTCTTCTTACATGTACACATATGCACAAAAACCAAAAAAGGACTTTTCACACAAGACAAATCTAGGGGTTAACACAGGGTTGACACAGGGTCGAAAACATGCGGCGGTTCGCACTCGAAAATGTTCAACCACGAGCCAACTCTGCGTCAACCCTGAGATTGATTGAACTCAACCTGCTTCAGACCAGGGTTGAGATTTTCAACTCCTGTTGAAACTCTCGCCAGGGCTCAAAACAGTAGAGCAGCTTGGATTGCATGGAAAAAAAGCATGAAATGAAACGGGGTTGAACGCAGGATTGAAGAATAAGAACTCAACCTAGGGTTTGGCACAGGGTTCACCCAGGGTTGAGTTCAACCCAAGTTGAGAGGCTCTACACTGAAAAGGCCTTTTGAAGTCAAGTTTTTCATTTCATTAAAAGTTGGTTTCACTGCTAGCATTCAAAAAATTCTCAACAGTTCAATCTGTAGGCCACGACATGAATAAGTACGTTTTCCTATACGCAAACTTGACAATTTGACATCTTGCTTAAGAGGAGAATGCACATTTAAACAGGCAGTATCTTGAGATTTAATTCCAACCCCGGTACTTGTAGGAAAAGAAACATAACTAAACAATTTCTCACCTCCTGGCACCTTGTACCATCGCTCAGGAGTGGTTTTCCATTCTTACAGAGACAGGTCCTACCGTCCGTGTCCAAGTGGGCCATATGGGGGCAAGCGCAGGTGAAATTAGAGGGGCTGGATGGGGAGGGCAGGCAGTGATGGGAACAGCCAGGGGTGACGTCGCAGTAGTTGACGGCATCTGAGGAAAGGAACATAGGCTCATTACATTGTGATAAAATGAAAAATTATCAAATTTTCTGGCCTAGGACCAGAAACCAGACACTGTTTGTTTGACATGTAGCGTTAAGGGAATGTATGAAGCTGGGTCACTATTAATGGGGATGAACAATAAATAAGGATTGCCTTTGCTAATTACTTGTGACTTGACTTGTGCACTAGTGATGATGTGTTATTGTCTGTCACAAGTCATCCAGTCCCAAGTCAGGTCCCGACCTATGCAAATGATTTGTAATGAACTTCATTCCCAAGCCTGCCAACTATGCGTGTTATTGTTTATCCGTGGTTACTTTTTTACCGGACTTGTGATTTTACTTGTGACAGGACAGAAAAGGATTGGATTCAAATCCGACTTGACTTCAAAAATTACTCTCATTTTATTGTTTCCAATAAAATATTCCAATCAACTATGATTATTGAAACATCGACACAACTCTGAAAACAGTGGAGGCTGTGAATGGATAGTGTCTGTATCCATGTACGGTGGAATTGGAAATTGAACCCATTCCCACACGGACAGTTTGTACACCGTTGTCTACATATACATGTAACCTTTTCTCTTTGAAATTTGATACCCGATGACGTTATGATGACGTCCATGGTTCGGACCATGGTTCATATTCATCCCATGTTCAATTATCATCCTGTGAACCATTTGGAAAAACAATCCTTTGATATGAGGCTCATATTTTGAATTCAACTAACTGACCTTCCGGTAACCATGGAAGGAAAGGTAAAGTTACTTCACATACACACACAAAATATTTTCAAGGTATGGTTTATCAAACTGCAAGTATAAAGATGATTGAGTAGTAAGAGTATGAGTGAAAGAAGTCTGTCACTTTTTGAACTAATATTGCTTGTAATTTGATACCTGATGATGTCATCATGACTTTAAAGTAATATGCACCACTCAGGATAGGGTCGATATACATGTATTTTCAAAGTTACTAGTTGATATCATGAGCCGTGCAGGAGAAAACTGTGGATAACTCCCCCCCCCCCCCTTAAAAAAATAAAGAAAATATTGACAACAAACGTCAGAAAGCAATTCAGGAATTTACCGAGCACAGTGAGCTGTCCGGTGGTGTAGATTTCCCCATGATCGTTGCTGGCCACACACTGGTACATCCCTGTATCTTCCACTGTCAGCTTCTTGATAGTCAGTGTCTTCTGACCATTACTGAGCTGATATCTGGGCAAGTCCATGATCTCCTCAACGTTACGATACCACTTGTAGGTCACGCCGTCTGGGCTTGCAGCTTCACACTCCCAGATCACGTCCTCGTACATATTTGCTTCCATGTCTGAGATTTCTTGAACCCACGTGGGCGGCACTGAATCAAGACCAAACACAATACAATGTTCAATCCAAATAGCTGTATCCAAGCCAAGATCATCAGGTTGGCGTTTATCTCCTGCTTCAGTGGCATGAAACAACTCAAAATATTCCTTTGCCCTCAATGGAATACCAGACAATCTCAGGTTATTTCCTAGATAATGCCAGGATCCATTTCCTGGGGGCGAGGGGCAGGTTGGGGGATGTGGCTTGCCTAAGGACACAACGTCAAGCCAGCAGCGGGATATACCGGAACATGTATGACCCCTGGACCCTATATGATCACTAGTCATGACACCTAACCACTAGGCCACACTCTCACCATTAAACAAAAAATCCTAACTAACCTTTCTTATTCCTCAAAAAAAACCCAAAAAACACACCACTGTGCATAAACCCAATGGAACACTCTTTGTTCCCACCAAGTTTTAAGTTTATACCCTGGGCATTATGGCTGGGAACCTTCCTGAATCCTCCGTGAAAACCAATGGTTTCAAATTTTACACCCTGGGTAGATCGATTGGTACATTTCTGGGTAATTGCAATTATTCCTATGTTCCTTTAAATTAATAAAAATCTCTTTCTTCCAGCATGACCTACCGTTTACGACGACATTTCCAGATGAGCGTCCGTCACCCTCTTCAGTGTAGCACTCATACTCCCCGGCATCATCCACCTGTATATTCATCAGCACCAACACCTGGTTATCATTCCTGAGGTTGTACAGGGCCGGCAGCTCCGCACCTTGTGGGGTCTTTCTGCGCCATTGGATCCTTGGGGTAGGACTTGGGGATACAAAGGTCAAAGGTCACATGTTAAAAGGATCATCAGGATATATCAAATGTGTAGAGTTAAAGATGTACTGTCCGTACTCATTTCTTTGAACAAATTTCAACCGTTGAGAGTTTTATTTTAACAAAAAAAAAACAAAAAAAAACAGTCGTTTACTTTTGGGTTGCTTTTGAACACAAACAGATCTGCCCTGCAAGTAGACTGGTTCCTAGTCCCTACATTTTATGAAACCAGTCTGTCCTGCAACCATGCAGTCAGTGGTGGGCAACAAATAACTAAAAATGCACATGACCGTACCAACTGTTTTTGATGATATCTCATTCAATAGTGAAAATATATTTTGAACAAGAAAAACAATTTAAAAACTTCAAATTCAGAGCCATTCTCAAAACAGCACACAACTTAAAAATATCTCTCAAAGACACCACTTCATAACACTTTATATTTTCATAGTTGATATCAGATACACCATGAAACTGGGCTATATTGAGAAAAAAAAACCAACAAACTTTTATGTCCATATTAATTAGAGCTATTAACACGGTAAGTCTGCAAATCCTTTTGATTCAATGTTGCACCATCCTTGGACAAGTGGTTCTTCATAAGACCCTTCAGGATTGCTTTCAGAGTCATGTATAGCATGTACCTCAACCTCATCAGACATGCAGGGGTACTGGGAAGGGGGCAAACGATCCTTGGGCCCACCTTTGTTCTTTACAAGAGGATTGCTTTCAGAGTCATGTATAGCATGTACCTCAACTTCATCTCTCATGCAGGGGTACTGGGGGCAAACGATCCTTGTGCCCATCTTTGTTCTTTACAAGAGGATTGCTTTCAGAGTCATGTATGGCATGTACTTCAACCTCATCACTCTTGCAGGGGTACTGGGGGCAAACGATCCTTGGGCCCATCTTTGTTCTTTACAAGAGGATTGCTTTCAGAGTCATTAGTAAGTACCTCAACTTCATCTCTCATGCAGGGGTACTGGGGGCAAACGATCCTTGGGCCCATCTTTGTTCTTTACAAGAGGATTGCTTTCAGAGTCACGTATAGTAAGTACCTCAACTTCATCTCTCATGCAGGGGTACTGGGGGCAAACGATCCTTGGGCCCATCTTTGTTCTTTACAAGAGGATTGCTTTCAGAGTCACGTATAGTAAGTACCTCAACTTCATCACTCATGCAGGGGTACTGGGGGCAAACGATCCTTGTGCCCATCTTTGTTCTTTACAAGAGGATTGCTTTCAGAGTCACGTATAGTAAGTACCTCAACTTCATCACTCATGCAGGGGTACTGGGGGCAAACGATCCTTGTGCCCATCTTTGTTCTTTACAAGAGGATTGCTTTCAGAGTCACGTATAGTAAGTACCTCAACTTCATCACTCATGCAGGGGTACTGGGGGCAAACGATCCTTGGGCCCATCTTTGTTCTTTACAAGAGGATTGCTTTCAGAGTCACGTATAGTAAGTACCTCAACTTCATCACTCATGCAGGGGTACTGGGGGCAAACGATCCTTGGGCCCATCTTTGTTCTTTACAAGAGGATTGCTTTCAGAGTCACGTATAGTAAGTACCTCAACTTCATCACACATGCAGGGGTACTGGGGGCAAACAATCCTTGGGCCCATCTTTGTTCTTTACAAGAGGATTGCTTTCAGAGTCACGTATAGTAAGTACCTCAACTTCATCACTCATGCAGGGGTACTGGGGGCAAACGATCCTTGGGCCCACCTTTGTTCTTTATAAGTGGCCGTCCTATACCTAGAGTGGCTTTCAGCCTTGTAACGGGTGACTTCCATTCTAATAGAAAACAACTTGATCAACCAATCGTCTCTACTCACTTGCCAAAGAAGAAGCAACTGAGTGTAGTTTTTGCCGTGTTGACTAACACTTCTTGGTCTTCCACAGCGATGGCCAGTTCAGGACCAAATTGAGCTTCCCTGGCTATGAAAAATAAATCAAGACATCAAATCAAATCATTGAATTAATTGCATTGTTGCGAAGAGGGGGGGGGGGGGGGAGATTCAAACACCCAATGGGTAGAAAAAGTAAAACGTTTGTCTAAAAAAAATCACATGGGTGGGTTTATCAGCTGATAGACCACCAGATGGTTTTAACTCCTGCACTGCTGCATTATGTGTCCAGCATGCGCCAAACCCCATAAAAGGAGATTTTTTTCTACTGTGGCCACGAGGCAAACATCGACATGGCCAGAGGGGTATGTCACAAAACATCATTTGAAAATTGCATGCTCATGTTGATTAGCGTAAAATCTGTCGCAATGTAAACACAACCAATACTAGATGTGCAAAACCCCATAGCCTCTGAGCAAGAGCACAACGAGTATCATTCTGCTGAATGTAGCCTGTACATGGAGTACACATGGCACAAAAAGAGTGGCATACATGTATTAACATGATTTTTGACACCTACTTGCAGGCCCGGCAGTGACTTGAAAGGTGTCGCTGAACTTTGCACCTGAAGATCCGCCGTAAGTTTGGATGATTTTGAGAACAACGTAGCATCTGTACTCTCCGTTATCAGATTTTTGGAAGTTGGCAAAGCAGAGCCGTCCATCCTTGGTCGTGTGGGTATGTGCTGTCTGCAGAATGGGAAACAGTCCGTAGTACCAGAAGACATCGACTCCTGTGGGGATAGGCCCGAGACAACAGGTCAGCAAGACAGACTACAGCTATTGATTGTATTAAAGAGGGAAAGTATCAGTAGTGCTGAGGGGATAGTCAATGCAAAGCGAGACTACTTCCCAAGGTGAAGCATCGGAATGAGCAATTTTGCACCTTCCCCAAAATATATCAAGTTGAATTTGCTATTTTACACATCCTAGGCTCATCACGGGTATACCATCAAGAAGAAAGTATATGAGATTGTTTCTGCATTCAATAGGGAAAAATAGGGTCCACAATTCCAAAAGGTCCACATTTGATGATCGTGTACAAAACACATGGGAGGTCTACTCAAACAGAAAAAGTACAAGCAACAGAGGCTGTCCACGATTGAAGGCACTTACATGCTTGTGTGCCTGGGTGGGTAGGCCTTCATCGCATTATGGGGAAGTTTATTGTTAGGCAAATTAGGAAAGAGTTGTGGGGTTTTTCTGCTGTCCCCACAGCATTTTCCCTCCCACAAATACCACAGAGACAAGTGTATGACCCCATAACTATGGAACAAGAATTTGTGGGCTATATTCACCCCGAGGACCGATAGACAAAGGGAGAACAACAGATGCTATGTTGACTCTGATCGTTCATCTTTTGTTGAAAACTGTCGTCGATCGTGCATTTATGTGCTTCTATATGTAGGGTCCCCAATTCCTGAAGGTCCCAATTTGGCAATCGTGTACAAAACATGGGAGGTCTTCCTTAAAAGTACAAACAAAAGAGGGGCAATGGGGGGTACCCGATTGCAGGCAAATACATGCATGTCTGTGTGTGTGCATGTTCACGACTTGCTCCACATGACCACAAAGCCACCTTCCACGGGAAATGGGCGAGGCCTCGTAATTGAAAAGATGTGTAACGTACCTGGGAAGTGATGTGGTACATCGCATGATATACACATCCCTGTGTTGAGTGGTATTGTCATATCTGGTGGGCCTACCTCTGGAAAATTGTTAAGGACTGATGAAAGAAAAATACATGTACCAAGATGACAAATTTTAAGAACTATCCAACATGCAGAATGTATGATGTGACATAATCACCGTGCCTTTTGACACACATTTGACCTCTAAAACAAAGATACAATGTTGCTATATTTTAACACTAAAGTGAATCAGTGCAGTGCAAGAATAGGGTATGTTTTAATGAAAATAGTACATTGTAAAAACACAAAGATGTGAAGCCGACCTTTGAGAATTTCTGACATGTGACCTCTCAACCTTTGACCTTTGTGACACTTCACCTCTTGATCTTTCTGGCATTTGAGCCCTCCAATTTTTAACTTTTTCACAAAATAAGGCATTCAAAAAGAGTTTTTGTTTCAAGTTATTGACTCTTTCAAAATGAAATTGGTATTTCCAAAATGATGTTACTTTGTTTTTATCAATGTATTTATCAATTTAAAATAATTCAGATATCAAGGGGCATTTATTTACAAGCAAAATCCAACTTGGCCTTCTTGCTCATGATAGTTCCAATCTGGTTGGACGGGAAGCATTGGTAGGTGCCCATGTCCACCGTCTTGTCTGGCTGTGTGATGGTCAGCCTGCCTTGGGATAGCCGGTACCTGGGCTCAGCATCGGTGTCCAATTCTTCATCGTTTCGTCGCCAGGTGTAGGTGGGACTCTCGTCTCCATCCGCCTCACAGTCCAGGTACAAGAAATCCATCACGCTGTCCTCATTGAAGATTATGTCGTGAGGCTCCTTCACCATGTGAGGTCCAGAGCCTGCCAGTCCCGTGTATTCTGAAATTTGGGAGGATTAATAATACATATACATGTAGTCAGTCGTTGAGGATGTTTCTAACCATTTGTAGACTGCTTCATACTGCAATGTGTAGTGGGCAATGAACCCCGTGCTGCCAGCACCAGTAATTTCTGCATAAACACGTTATGCTTCCAGTACGAGCAGTACAACCTCGAAATAAATACATTAAGACGAAATCTACCAACATGTACACAGAAAAGAGCGATCATGGTCTGTGAATCAACTTACAGAGATTTTCCTTTTCATCGATATTTGTTTGGCATTAATTATGATGTCAAATTAGACCACTTATGCTATGTCCGTCATAGACTGGTTCCAGTCCTTAACTTTTGCCATTTTAGCACACGGCGGGAACCAGTCTGCCAGTGCTGCATGCATGACACATGTGCTTTTCAACCCTCTGATCTTAAGTCACATACAAACCATAACCAATGGCCACACTCCCCTTATATTTAACCAAACTGGGGTATCAAGCAATGGCTGTAATGGTAATGGACTACTTAGACAAAAGAACACCTTTGTTGTGTTCCATGAGCCCTGCTCACCTCTTACAACAATACTTCCAGTACTGGTAGTACTGCCTACGATGTTGGTTGCTTCACATGTATACTCCCCAGCATCCGAGTCCACCACATCTGTGATCAACAAGTTACCATTATCCTGGATGGTGTAGTGCCCGTCACTTGTGATCAGCCGGCTTTCCTTGAACCACCTGATGGTTGGGGTTGGTGCAGCCTCAGGCTGACAGATGATGGTGGCTGTGCCGCCACGGGGCGCCACCTGATTTTGCTTTAACCCGGTGCTGAACCAAGGCTGCATGACTGTCAAGGCAGAGCAAGTAATGTATGTTAGGCCAAACAAATCCTAAATATTCAGTCTCTGGTCAGCGCGATTTTGATCGTGCGCTTTATTTTCAATTTTTTTTTCAAATTTTCTGTGGTAGCTACAACAGTTAGATGTTGAACGAATGATAGACCATGGGAACGATGTTGCTGCCAGCTGATCAACAACAATGGCGGTTAGTCAACTACAAACATTTCAACAAGAGGACCTAACTCTGCGTAGCGTGTCTACATGAAATATGCCACTTATTTCCGTGTCCATTGATTGTGGAGTGAAAACTATTACCGTTCGGTATTGTGTAATGTGAGGGCTCGGCAAGTTTTTACCATGCACGAATCTGTGTGCGATGGGACTCTGTCCAGTGGTCGCGAGAGATTTGTTTTGGACACCACGCATGCTGGATCATCCCCAACCCGGTTTTATCCAAGTTATCCCCCTCACAGAACTAATAAGTGACTGTCTGGAGTTAGGAAAATACTTTACATTTGTGCTACACATGCCGCCACTTGTTGAAAGAGGGCCAAACCCTTGGGGTTTGGGGGGATTTGAAAGTTAAGCTTCTCCTCTGGCTTCGTATATTAGAATGTATGCCATGTCCTGTATGGCAATCAACCATTAGTATCTGTACTACATAGTATTACATTGTATTTATCCAAGATGAATTCATCAAACCGTAGAGTGCTTGTGCAGTTTGAGTTTTTAAGTCCCTCCCTTCAGTGGTTTTTGTCCAGAAATTCTTCTCGCTGGTTTTCCTCCCACCTTTAACACTACAATTTCCTTTCTCATCACGACTAAAGCATGCCAAAAAAATCTCAGCTGAATGAGAAATAATTAACCAACAAAGTTCTGCAGCAGCTTAGAACTTTATAGTTGATTAATTCATGACAAAAAATAGAAAAAGAAAACAAAAAAGGCCCACACACCTAACACAAATGAGTGAGGAATTTACCGAGCACAGTCAGCTGTCCAGTGGTGTAGATTTCCCCATGATCGTTGCTGGCCACACACTGGTACATCCCTGTATCTTCCACTGTCAGCTTCTTGATAGTCAGTGTCTTCTGACCATTACTGAGCTGATGTCTGGGCAAGTCCATGATCTCCTCAACGTTACGATACCACTTGTAGGTCACGCCGTCTGGGCTTGCAGCTTCACACTCCCAGATCACGTCCTTGTAGATATTTGCTTCCGTGTCTGAGATTTCTTGAACCCACGTGGGCGGCACTGAATCAAGACCAAACACAATACAATGTTCAATCCAAAATCCGTTCCAAGCCAATACGGATCATCAGGCTGGCGTTTATCTCCGGTTTCAGTGGCTCAGATTAAGAATATTTCTTTCCTCTAAATCATACCAGACCATCTCATGTTCTTTCCTAGCTAGTGTGAGAATTTATTTATATACTCTGAGGGGAGAGAGGCGCCTGTGGTGATGTGGCTTGCCCAAGGACACAACGTATAGCCAGCAGCAGGATTTGACCCTCGGACCTTATGAACAAAAGTCACGAACCCTAACCACTAGGACACACTCCCCCTGTTAAACCGAAATTCCTGAGGCACTATCAGCAACCGTATACCTTCCCCAGTCCTCCAAAATCCACCACTGCCTAGAAAGCCAACTGCAAATTCTTTGTACTTCCACTTTCAACATATGTTATATATTGGACAGCTATAATAAATCGGTTGGTGCATTTCCAGGTAATTACAAATGTTCCTACGTACCTTTAAATTAATACAAATCTCTTTCTTCCAGAATGACCTACCGTTTACGATGACATTTCCAGATGAGCGTCCGTCACCCTCTTCAGTGTAGCACTCATACTCCCCGGCATCATCCACCTGTATATTCATCAGCACCAACACCTGGTTATCACTCCTGAGGTTGTACAGGGCCGGCAGCTCCGCACCTTGTGGGGTCTTTCTGCGCCATTGGATCCTTGGGGTAGGACTTGGGGATACAAAGGTCAAAGGTCACATGTTAACAGGATCATCAGGATATATCAAATGCGTAGAGTTAAAGATGTACTGTCCGTGCTCATTTCTTTGAACAAATTTCAACCGTTGAGAGTTTTATTTTAACAAAAAAAAAAAACCCAAAAAACAGTCATGTACTTTTGGGTTGCTTTTGAACACAAACAGATCTGCCCTGCAAGTAGACTGGTTCCTAGTCCCTACATTTTATGAAACCAGTCTGTCCTGCAACCATGCAGTCAGTGGTGGGCAACAAATAACTAAAAATGCACATTACTGTACCAACTGTTTTTGATGATATCTCATTCAATAGTGAAAATATATTTTGAGCAAGAAAAACAATTTAAAAACTTCAAATTCAGAGCCATTCTTAAAACAGCACACAACTTAAAAATATCTCTCAAAGACACCACTTCATAACACTTTATATTTTCATAGTTGATATCAGATACACCATGAAACTGGGCTATATTGAGCAAAAAAAACCAACAAACTTTTATGTCCGTATTAAGAGCTATTAACACGGTAAGTCTGCAAATCCTTTTGATTCAATGTTGCGGCAAACGATCCTTGTGCCCATCTTTGTTCTTTACAAGAGGATTGCTTTCAGAGTCACGTATAGCAAGTACCTCAACTTCATCACTCATGCAGGGGTACTGGGGGCAAACGATCCTTGGGCCCATCTTTGTTCTTTATAAGAGGATTGCTCTCAGAGTCATGTATAGCATGTACCTCAACCTCATCACTCATGCAGGGGTACTGGGGGCAAACGATCCTTGGCCTTGTGCCCATCTTTGTTCTTTACAAGAGGATTGCTTTCAGAGTCACGTATAGTAAGTACCTCAACTTCATCTCTCATGCAGGGGTACTGGGGGCAAACGATCCTTGTGCCCATCTTTGTTCTTTATAAGTGGCGGTCCTATACCTAGAGTGGCTTTCAGCCTTGTAATGGGTGACTTCCATTCTAATAGAAAACAACAACTTGATCTACCAATCGTCTCTACTCACTTGCCAAAGAAGAAGCAACTGAGTGTAGTTTTTGCCGTGTTGACTAACACTTCTTGGTCTTCCACAGCGATGGCCAGTTCAGGACCAAATTGAGCTTCCCCGGCTATGAAAAATAAATCAAGACATCAAATCAAATCATTGAATTAATTGCAATGTTGCGAAGACGGGGGGGGGGGGGGGGGGGGGGGGGGGGGGGGGGAGGATTCAAACACCCAATGGCTAGAAAAAGTAAAACGTTTGTCTAAAAAAAATCACATGGGTGGGTTTATCAGCTGATAGACCACCAGATAGTTTTAACTCCTGCACTGCTGCATTATGTGCCCAGCGTGCGCCAAACCCCATAGATGTCACAAAACATCGTTTGAAAATTGCATGCTCATGTTGATTAGCGTAAAATCTGTCGCAACGTAAACACAACCAATACTAGATGTGCAAAACCCCTAGCCTCTGAGCACGTGTATCATTCTGCTGAATGTAGCCACTGTACCGGTACTTGCACATGGAGTACACATGGCACAAAAAGAGTGGCATACATGTATTAACATGATTTTTGACACCTACTTGCAGGCCCGGCAGTGACTTGAAAGGTGTCGCTGAACTTTGCACCTGAAGATCCGCCGTAAGTTCGGATGGTTTTGAGAACAACGTAGCATCTGTACTCTCCGTTATCAGATTTTTGGAAGTTGGCAAAGCAGAGCCGTCCATCCTTGGTCGTGTGGGTACGTGCTGTCTGCAGAATGGGCAACCGTCCGTAGTACCAGAAGACATCGACTCCTGTGGGGATAGGCAGCAAGACAGACTACAGCTATTGATTGTATTAAAGAGGGGAAGTATCACTAGTGCCGAGGGGATAGTCAATGCAAAGCGAAACTACTTCCCAAGGTGAAGCATCGGAATGAGCAATTTTGCACCTTCCCCAAAATATATCAAGTTGAATTTGCTATTTTACACATCCTAGGCTCATCACGGGTATACCATCAAAAAAAAAGTATGTGAGATTGTTTCTGCATTCAATAGGGAACAATAGGATCCACAATTCCAAAAGGTCCACATTTGATGATCGTGTACAAAACACATGGGAGGTCTACTCAAACAGAAAAAGTACAAGCAACAGAGGCTGTCCACGATTGAAGGCACTTACACGCTTGTGTGCCTGGGTGGGTAGGCTTATCACCGCGTTATGGGGAAGTTTATTGTTAGGAAAATTAGGAAAGAGTTGTGGGGTTTTTCTGCTGTCCCCACAGCGTTTTCCCTCCCACAAATACCACAAATACCACAGAGACAAGTGTATGACCCCATAACTATGGAACAAGAATTTGTGGGCTATATTCACCCCGAGGACCGATAGACAAAGGGAGAACAACAGATGCTATGCTGACCCTGATCGTTCATCTTAGGACATGAACCAAATCAAGGACGACCACGATTAGAAAACGTGTACAAAACCAATGAGAGCTGTTGCAAAAAAGTATAAAGAAAGAAAAAGGGAAGAGGAATGAGAAATCCTGGATTTACACCAAAAACAAACGTGGGTGTGTGTGTGTGCATGTTATCACGACTTGTTCCACTTGACCGAAAGCTGCCTTCCACGCATAGCGGGCGAGGCGAAGTCTCCTATAATGTGTACCGTACCTGGGAAGTGATGTGGTATGTCGCATGATATACACATCCCTGTGTTGAGTGGTATTGTCATATCTGGTGGGCCTACCTCTGGAAAATAGTTAAGGACTGACAAAAAAAAATACCAAGATGACAAATTTGAAGAATTATCCAACATGTAGAATGTATGTGACATAATCACAGTGCCTTTTGAAACATATTTGACTTCTAAAACAAAGATAGCTATATTTGAAAGGGAAAATACAACATTTGCAAACATCAAAAAATAAAACTACCAAATCATTTTGAAATACCTTGCTGGACTGTTAGTGAATGACAGTGTAAAGCATCCTGTAAAATCATGGCACCTGGTATACTGTCATTTTCAAGAAAAGTGGTATTTTTGTATCAATTTCCAACGCTGATCGGCCAATCAGCGTTGGAAAAAACTGGCTTTTTTTCAAATACTGGCCACAATTGACCATCGCACTTGTTTGCAATAATGAACGGGTACGAGCCAGCTAGACTGGTTCCCTGACCTTACAATTCCCCAATGTATGTAAACTGCTCCGTTTCTTCTTATATGGAGTCAGGGAACCAGACTACAGGAACATGATTGTTTATCTTTGTTTTTATAGCATTTTCTAACCCAAAACCTCAAAAAAAGTCAGTGTAACTATATTTGCTATATATTTCCAACCCCCCAATTCCATCCATTTCTGAAAATTACAGCAAAAGCAAATGATGTATATTCCCTTTAACAGTGACTCAGTGCAGTGTTTCAAGTTATTGACTCTTTCAAAATGAAATTGGTATTTCCAAAATGATGTTACTTTGTTTTATCAATGTCTTTTGTGATACATGTTTTAAAATAATTCAGATATCAGGGGGCATTTATTCACAAGCAAAATCCAACTTGGCCTTCTTGCTCATGATAGTTCCAATCTGGTTGGACGGGAAGCATTGGTAGGTGCCCATGTCCACCGTCTTGTCTGGCTGTGTGATGGTCAGCCTGCCTCGGGACAGCTGGTACCTGGGCTCAGCATCGGTGTCCAATTCTTCATCGTTTCGTCGCCAGGTGTAGGTGGGACTCTTGTCTCCATCCGCCTCACAGTCCAGGTACAAGAAATCCATCACGCTGTCCTCATTGAAGATTATGTCGTGAGGCTCCTTCACCATGTGAGGTCCAGAGCCTGCCAGTCCCGTGTATTCTGAAATTTGGGAGGATTAAAGTAAGTCATGTTATTGGAGATTATTATTCTAACCGTCTGTAGACCGGTTTATACTTTAGGCAAACAATAATGTACATTTAAAGCAAATTTGATGTACAAAAACCATTCTCAGAAAGGGGTTGGAGTCGAACCCTAAGGTCAAAAAAAACTTATGCTTCCGATTACATGCCTATAAAAAATAGGGTCCGATGGCTGGAAATATTTTTATTTTGCCAAATTTTGTTGTGCCGATTGAATGGAGTATACATGTATGTGTATTTTGGGTCTGAATTGCATGTATTTTCATTTGTGCCACGGAAGCTATTGAAACTAACCCTCACAAGTGATAAAACTTTGCCTTAACCCTTACCCTACTTGACCCTCCAACGCATGCCAATATGTGCCTCAAGAAAATCTCCTATGTTTTTTGCATGGCCCTCCAATATCTGCCATGTCATTTCAAGGGTAACTGGACAGGCACTCCAATACATGCCACAGAGAACAATGAGAGTCCTCTGATAACAAAGTGAGTGCCCCCAGCTGGTCAGTATCAGGCACCCTCCAGGGCCTCCAACTCCTGCCAATTGGAGCCTTCACTGTTAAGACTTGTTATCTGCCAATAAACTGCAGCTGGAGGGCATTGGCATAACCAACTGACATGCAGTAAACTACCCTCAGAGAGTAAGGGTTAATTATTGAAAATCTATATTTAAGGTTGATAATTTTTTAAAATAACAGAGAATTTAAGTTGTGCACATTACTCTGCACATCGTTAGCCAAAACCGGCCATGATATCGCAGATTTGCACAGTATCAGCATGAGTGCATGAAGCAGGCAACGAACCATGTGCTGCCGGCCATAGAAAATTTCGTGGAAGTACCGGTATGCTCTAGACAATGGACCGGAGGCGAATTGGCCCTGCCTTTCCCATGGACACAACACAAGAAACTCTGTTAGATTTGACCCATAACCTTCTTATTTCAATGGATGGAGTGTGTTGGCCTGGTGAATATATATATAGAAACAATACATTCTTGGTCAGGGGTTGGATTTGAACCTACTGGTAGTTCAATTCCAGTTAGATCTGGTTGGTCTTGGTTTTTGTCAGAATTCCCCTTAGATTTTAAGTGTTTTATATATTTCCAAATGTGCTTGTAAATTTGGTCATGTTTATTCATTAACTTGTGACTTTTATTTACACAGGGCCATGGATTTCTTTGCCAACATGTAAATAACCTACTATTTTGTTTAGCAATACAGGACTGACAGGAGCAGTAGAATTCTCCTCCTTTGTGTTACCCATACCAATAGCATGTAATGCCTTTGGGGTTTAATTGAATAAGCTTTTCCAAGCCTTCCCCAATCTTTGTGTTTGAATTCCTTGAGGTTGTAAACGAATGAAGTGGAATGTTAGGTATCACGGTTGGTTTGCAGTGATTGCTGGTATAAAAGAGATTTTTGGGTGTGCCACAGCAGAGCACATTTGAATTTTTGATAGACAATGTCTGACAATTGATCCTCTGAGCCGCGCGCTTTTTACAATAAGGTGTAGCTGCCGCATTTGCTGCAACTTGCAGAAGCAGAAGCAGATAGTACAGACTGCTCATCAAGGCAAATAGTGGTGTGGAGCTGAGACCAAGAGCAGCTGGATCAGCGAATCCAAGATCGTGAACGACAAGGAAACCGTGAGTTATGTTTGTTTAATTATCAAGGAGGTTATGGTTTCTTTTTAGTTATTTAACTTTGCAGTAAATAATGACCAGTGCCACCCTAAGAAGGTTTTGATGGAATAATTGATATTATTGAAGTTTTTTTGTACATATACGCAAGCGTAATTCTTTAAGTTAACAGCCGATTTGTTGTAAAAAAGATTGGAGATTTTGAGGTATTATTGCCTGTATTTTTTGGCCAATCTTTCATTGAATTATCAGATGGCCCTTGGCCCTTGTAGCCTGTAGTCTGAGGTGCATGCCAAATTGAGGTAGATGGTTGATGAGCCGGGATGCTCAAGACGTTGATTTATGCAGTAGCAACCGTCGAGTTTGACGTAGAGTCGCAGAGACAGAGGACGCTGGAGGGGCTGTCATCCCTATGTTGCACCACTGAGAGGCTGAAATCAGCAGGAGAACACCTAATTTTTAAAATACGGTGAACTGTATCATTTCTTGTTTTGCAATAACATTTGATTGTTATTGAGATCTATTAAGATAAATTTGTTTGATCATCTTGATTTACAAGACATTCTTTTTTTGTGATTTATAAATCGAAGAGATTTTTTTTTCTGGCCAATTTGACTGGAAATTGAATTTTGGAAGTAGTTAATTGGTCATGTCTTTTTTTTTTTTTTTAAACCTTTGGAAAACATCTAAAGTAAGTGTACTTTGGGTTTTTTTTATGACTAAGTGGATAAACTTAGGAGTGGTTTCGAATGTATCCACACCTAGCGTTCTTTTTTGAGTTTAATTTGTTCAGAAAGTAAAAACAGATATTCCTTTAATTACTATTTTTTTGGTTGAGTTGTGTTTCAAGTTAAGAGTTTAAAACTGAGAAGAAATACTTATAGTTTATTTTGTGAGATATTTTTGTTGTTTTCCGCATTAATCATCCATTTTATGACTTAAATTTATAATCCTTTTTATGACTTAAGGAGAAATATTGTAAATACTGCAAGAAGAAGTGGACTTATAAATTAAATTGTAAATAATAATTGTGTAAATAGAACTGATCTTGTCCATTGTTGTGATTATTTGGTGTTTGCAATCTAATCATTTGATCTTTCCAGCCACAGTCACTAAAACAAAAGGGTAACTGTTACATTTTACTCAGACAATACACAAGGACAGCCATTGGATTTGAACCCATAACCCTCCAATCTTAACCCTAACTCCCTAGGGGGTGTGCAAAATCGTATTGAAATTGGAGGTTTCAGGACTGTTAGGGCTATTGGATCCCTACTCACCCTGTGCATTGCATCCAATAACTGCAACAAGGAGAAGAAAAAATCGCCTCATGTTGCCACATCAGCGTACACTACAAACTGAAGACGATCAGAGATTTTTGGAATTTTGCCTGAAATAAAATATATATAAAATATATAAATTCCTACATACTAGGATACATGTATTTCCAAAGTTTATGTTACTCAATAGGTTGCTCTCCAATTTGACTTCCTACAGAAGACATGAAATACATGTAACTTCCCATCAGAATTTTGTGGCGTCAACTTTTCTGGACCCGCATCTGCTGCGCTGTATTTCAAAGAAATTAGCACTGTCGATACCAAAATTGTCAACTAGGAATATATCAGAAATCCAATATTGAGACTATTCAATATATCAATTATCCCATGTAAAAGTTCATGAAAATGTGGAACAATTACCCATTTGTACAGAACTTCTTCAAGCAAAAAAAAAACAATCTAAAGTTCCAATTTTCCAATGGCTTTCTCTGAAGCATATATTGCTCAAACTTTTCAATTTTAGCACTGAGAGTTTGTGGAACGGGCGTTTTTTTTTAGATTTTACATTGGGGAGACCACGAACTCCAGCGAACGCAGAGCACATAGCTGGTATCGCCCTTTGGCATTTCCTGATTTTTTTTTATTTTCATGCAGTCACATGGAAAGTTGCCGCCGAGTTGTATTTCATTATATACAGCAAATGTGAGTACTGAACAGAATCTGTGTGGCCAATTGCCTGCAAATCTCATGGGCTAAGGCAAGACATGCAGTTGTCAAGACAACCATGACAACAGCTTCCCACTGGACTGGCCCTGGCAGTGACCCAGCCTACAAGTCAGCTAGTTTCTCAGATTTCTTTTCCTTTGACAAAAAAGGAATCCTCCAAACCATAAATGGGCAACAACAAAATGTTCCAAATAACGAACCTTTTTACGAGAAAATATATTTCGCATAAATATGATTGGAAATAGGCCTATTTTATAATGATTTTAAATTAAATTACGCTATATACATTCATTTTTGCGCAGAAGTATGTGCTTTATATTTTCAAAGTAGCCGAACCCCAACTCTGCCTTGAAAAATGACCAGTAAATTGCAATCAGAAGTATTCACTGCTTAGATACAAAACGGAGTAAACACTTAGGACCTATGTATGGCATGATCTAGCAAAGCTATAAGTAAAAAGCAAATTCTATCAGATTTTAGCAAATTACTCGCTTCATTTTATTCATTACAGTGCAAGTAAAAATTGGAAAAAAGCCAATGGTAGGCAGAGTTTCTATATACACAACCAGACAACCCATAAGGTATTAGGCATTAGTTTATTTCTCCAGAGTCCCAATTTTCGGACTAGAGTTATTCAAGGCAATAAGTTACTCCTGCATGTCATGACATCGTTAAAGTTACTGAAAACAGAAAAGGCTGTATTAACGAGTAGGCCTAGCTGCATAGAACAAGTAGAAGTATAGCCCTATGGCATGTATATAGGCCCTTTATGGGGAGATTTTCAATTGACCTGTACTAGGCCTGTCAAGCGCAATTTGAGTCCTCCGTGCAAGTTTAAACTTGTGCGCACAAGTTTAAACCTGCGCGCACGTAAGTTTAAATTTGCGCGTGCATTAATTTCCTTGCTACGAACTGCGCACGCAAGTTTAAACTTGCGCACTACATAGATTTTCCCAATGCATGCAAAGCCACTAAACTAAACTATTTTTTTTCCCTTGGTAAACTCATGCAGATAATAACATTATTTTTAAAGCAGATTTTTCTCCGATTAATAGCACCACTGTGCTTCGTGAGATAATGCCTTTTTTGAAACATTTTATTATAAAAACAGTATTATGCTAATGAGGTTGACTGTGTAGAGGATCAGACTCAGAGATAAGGCATGTAAGGGGTGGTAATGCGAAGAATTTATGCACTTAATTTGCATCATGATCTGTATTATTGTTTATGGCTCATTAGGATTTTTGTTTAATAAACAACATATTCATTCATTAATTCGAATTAATTAATTAAATTAATAATTTAAATAAATTAATTAAATCATTGATAAATTTATTTACCTTTTAAAATAATTACCATTTTATGTGCATAGCATGAATTATTGAGCCTGCAAATGAAATAGTTGTTAAAGTAATAAATTTAATTAATTAATTAAATTAGTAATGATTTCATTATTTTTTTTTCAAATTATGCATTTTTTAAGTGTACACAGCGCTCGAAATATTAGGCAAAGTATTTTTAAAAACAAAATGAATTATTGTACCGTCCAATTAATTACTAAATTAATTAAATTAGTATTTTTTTTAGAATAAGTACTTTTTTAATTGTCACAGTACATGTAATTTAAAGCATTTAAAAAATAATGTAAATTATGATTTAAGTATAACGTCAAAATTTGAACAATTGAAGGATCATAATCATTCTTTTTACGTTAACAACGGGTTAACTTACCCCTAAGAAATTATGATTTATTTAAATTAACGAAGTGGCTATTGTTACGGCAGCCGTTGTGTGGCGCCCTCTACGATACTTTATTGATACACACGCAGGTATATAATTATTTGTTTCCCCACGTTTTAGTGAGCAGTGCGACAGCTCAGTCGATAGAGGGTAGGATTTGCACCGCGAGGTTGCGGGTTTGCATCTCAGTTTTGCACTCGAATTTTTTTCCTTTTCTAACCCGAGGCTTTGGAGGATTTTTTTTTAAAGGGAAATAAAGTCCGAATTTCATAATGTTCAAATTCACTTTTTTCCTTCTAATTTTATTTTCTTCTCATGTTTTTATAAAAGTTGCAGTCTACCGTAACGATAGAAAATGGGAAATGCGTTACGGCTGCCGTAACAATAGCCACTGCGTTAAATTAAAGAATATTTATAATGCTAATTAGTTTTACAATGCTAATTAGTTTTACAAATTACAAGGCAAAAAAACTTGAAGCTGGTCTCCGGCATTATTGAACAACTTCATTACACTTTCCAAGCAATCGCCGTGCTTATTGGTTGGTCCCCTCCCCGCCCCCTAAAAAACTTCTCTGATAAGCACTGCTAAATCTCAACGTTTCTTTTCAATTCCCCTTTTTGAGTGGTCGGGCACAACCCGACCACTCTTTGGATCTGTTACGATTAATTGAGTGGTCGGGCACAACCCGACCACTCTTTGGATCTGTTACAATTAATCTTTCTTTCTTTCTTTCTTTCTTTTTTTTTTCCGGACAATACTTCTCCATGGGTTTTCTCTGAAACGGTATATGGTATGAACTTGTAACTTTCAATATAATTCGACCCTCAACCGAAGTGGTGCATATTACTCTGACGTCATGATTACGTCATCAGGTGTCAAATTACAAGTGATTTTATCTGAAAAAGTGACCAATTACTTTCGCCTATAACTCTTGAACTAAACAATCAATGATGTTTGTATTCTGTAATCAGATAGACCATTAATCGCTTAACAGTTTATGTCGTGTACGTGAACTCGCTTGACCTTTACTTCCGGGTCTACCGGAAGGTCAAAGTTAGGTGAATTCAAAATGAAGACGTTAGCCTGACATCAAAACAAAGCAGCATTTCTAACGAACGGTTCACGGTATGATCACAAAACCTTGTGTGAACTTGTACCATGTTACGAAGATGTTATAAATTTTGTTTCGTCATCATGACGTCATCAGGTATCAAATTACAAGCGATTTAAGGGCAAATTTTGACAAAATAGTTTGCGTTATATCTTTTGAACTAAATAGAGTATCGTGTTCGTTTTTTTTGTGAGGTTGTAGACTATGCCGTGGGAAAAATTTTGTGTTCCCGGACGCAAAACCGCTTGACCTTTACTTCCGGTGTTACCGGAAGTGCAATAAAAACTGAATATAACTCAAAAGCGGAAGGATTTTACTACAGACATATATATTATGAAAGTGTTAAGTGAGGAATGCAAGACGCAAAAAACGTGTGATGACGTCATCATCCGAAAGGGTGCCCCCTATCGGCACATAAAATAGAGTTTCCCTTCTTTAATTGTAAAACCATCCGTCCAAATTTTACCAAATCGCCCCTTGACATTCTCTGATTAACCACAGATAACTTGACAAGGTTTCAAATTCATGACGTCATCAGACCGGAAGTTACTTTAAGGAGAATTTGAAAAAGATCATAGTTTTAATTTAATTCTATCATTTGATCCCTGTCATATCTTCGAAGTCCAAATAATGATATCCATTACAATGTTCACCTTTGGATCTCTAATGCTGTGATGTCATCAAACCGGGAGTTAGGTGTTATCAATACGTCATCAAACCGGAAGTTAGATGTTATTAATACAAACAATTATATTTCCCATAGTTTCATACGTTATTTTAACTTTACAATGAAAAATTATCCTCTCCGAACTTTATCAGTACTCACTAACCATTTTTGACTGATAACGTCATCAAGCCAGAAATAACTTTTTGTGCACATAGAATGATTACTGAAACTTATCACACCGTTAAAGATACCTTTTTGAAACATTGATTGTACTTGAAGGGATTTAATTTCGTGATCCTTTTTTCTACATAAACATATATTCCTAACTTAACTGGGCAGTGAATAATGAAAAGGCTGTCCGCCCAACCACTCTGCGTTTGTAACTCAACAAACGCGAAACTCTAGTCTTTCTTTCTTTCTTTTTTTTTTCCGGACAATACTTCTCCGCGGGTTTTCTCTTAAACGGTGTATGGTATGAACTTGTAACTTTCAATATATATCGACCCTCATTCGAAGTGGTGCATATTACTCTGACGTCATGATTACGTCATCAGGTGTCAAATTACAAGTGATTTTATCTGAAAAAGTGACCAATTACTTTCGCCTATAACTCTTGAACTAAACAAGTCAGGTGTGTTTACAAACACAAATGCCCCGCAACCGTGACTGTTCCCATGACATAACACCACTCTTTTAACATCAACTTACATGTACCTTGGTCACATGGAACATTCATTGACAGCATTAGTGTCTTCTGTAGGTTTTATATGAATTAATACCTAATCCCTATAATCTCAGAATAAATACAAGATTTCTATTGTTTTAGCCACTGTGAACTTGACCCTTGACCTTTTGGCCCCAAATTCAATAGGCTTCTTAGGATTACCAAGAACAATCCACAAACCAAATTTGAAGTTCATATGTTAAGTATTTCTCAAGTTATCGCGCTGACAAGACTTCTATTGTTTTAGCCACTGTGAACTTGACACTTGACCTTTTGGCCCCAAATACAATAGGCTTCTTAGGATTGCCAAGAACAATCCACAAACCAAATTTGAAGTTCACATGTAAAGTATTTCTCAAGTTATTGCGCTGACAAGATTTCTATTGTTTTAGCCACTGTGAACTTGACCTTTGGCCTTTTGGCCCCAAATGCAAAAGGCTTCTTAGGATTGCCAAAAACAATCCACAAACCAAATTTGAAGTTCACATGTAAAGTATTTCTCAAGTTATCGCGCTGACAAGATTTCTATTGTTTTAGCCACTGTGAACTTGACCTTTGGCCTTTTGGCCCCAAATGCGAAAGGCTTCTTAGGATTGCCAAAAACAATCCACAAACCAAATTTGAAGTTCACATGTAAAGTATTTCTCAAGTTATCGCGCTGACAAGATTTCTATTGTTTTAGCCACTGTGAACTTGACCTTTGGCCTTTTGGCCCCAAATGCGAAAGGCTTCTTAAGATTACCAAGAACAATCCACAAACCAAATTTGAAGTTCATATGTTAAGTATTTCTCAAGTTATCGCGCTGACAAGATTTGTCCGGACACACACACCCACACCCATACTTGTTTCACATGACTAGTGTGGACTTTCCATTGCTTTCGTGTAGTTAAGAAAAACCAGTGAAAAAACTCATTTTTCTCAAACTGTGAAAACTCTTTCAACCCAATTTTTTTTCTATGATTCCCTTTAGTGTTTCTCTTCATTCTGCTACAGATAAACCTAACCCAAAAATGCCTCTAAACCTGTTTTCCAGAAATGGGGAAACACTGTGTGGACGTGGGGTAAGTCCACACAACGTCGGTACTACCTACATTATGTGGACGTCTTTTGTTCGGAAGTCCACACTGCGTATGTAAGACAAACTCACACCCACCCACCACACACACACACCCACACACCCACCCACCCACCCACCCACCCACCCACCCACCCACCCACGGAAGGACAAGGCGGAAACAGTATGCCCCTTCGGCTTCGCCGCGGGGCATAACAATCAATGATGTTTGTATTCTGTAATCAGATAGACCATTAATCGCTTAACAGTTTATGTCGTGTACGTGAACTCGCTTGACCTTTACTTCCGGGTCTACCGGAAGGTCAAAGTTAGGTGAATTCAAAATGAAGACGTTAGCCTGACATCAAAACAAAGCAGCATTTCTTCCGAACGGTTCACGGTATGATAACAAAACCTTGTGTGAACTTGAACAATGTTACGAAGATGTTATATTTTTTGTTACGTCATCATGACGTCATCAGGTATCAAATTACAAGCGATTTATAGGGCAAACTTTGACAAAATAGTTTGCGTTATATCTTTTGAACTAAATAGAGTATCGTGTTCATTTTTTCGTGAGGTTGTAGACTAAGCCGTTAGAAACATTTCGTGTTCCCGGACGCAAAACCGCTTGACCTTTACTTCCGGTGTTACCGGAAGTGCAATAAAAACGTATTATAACTCAAAAGCGGAAGCATTTCACTACAGACATATATATTATGAAAGTGTTTAGTGAGGAATGCGAGACACAAAAAAAGTTTGATGACGTCATCATCCGAAAGGGCGCCCCCTATCGGCACATAAAATAGAGTTTCCCTTCTTTAATTGTAAAACCATCCGTCCAAATTTTACCAAATCGCCCCTTGACATTCTCTGATTAACCACAGATAACTTGGCAAGGTTTCAAATTCATGACGTCATCAGACCGGAAGTTACTTGAAGGAGAATTTGAAAAAAATCAGAGTTTTAATTTAATTCTATCATTTGATCCGTCATATCTTCGAAGTCCAAATAATGATATCCATTACAATGTTCACCTTTGGATCTCTAATGCTGTGACGTCATCAAACCGGAAGTTAGGTGTTATAAATACGTCGTCAAACCGGAAGTTAGGTGATATTAATACAAACAATTATATTTCCCATATTTTCATACGTTATTTAATTTTAAATGACAAATTATCCTCTCCGAACTTTATCAGTATTCACTAACCATTTTTGAATGATGACGTCATCAAACTAGAAATAACTTTTTGTGCACATAGAATGTTTACTGAAGTTTATCACACCGTTAAAGATACCTTTTTGAAACATTGATTGTACTTGAAGAGATTTAATTTCGTGATCCTTTTTTCTACATATATTCCTAACTTAACTGGGCAGTGTATAATGAGAAGGCTGTCCGCCCGACCACTCTGCGTTTGTAACTCAACAAACGCGAAACTCTAGTTATTTATTTTTTTGTTCATTAGTTTGTTCCATTATTTATTAATTTATTTCTCAATGTAGGCCTACCCGTGTTTTGAACATTTTTTTTCTTCATCAATGAAAATCCCGCCCGCAAGGTTCTCAAGTTGTAACGTGCGCACGCAAATTAAAATGGCGCGGTGTAATTTGCGTGCTTCGGGGAGTCCCTCGCGCAGTTTAAACATGTTAAACTTGTAATTTGTATTGCGTGGGGGACTCAAATTGCGCTCGACCGGCCTACTAGTACTACTAGTACTAGGCAAGTCTACGAATGAAACGAAATGAAAATAAATTAGTAGTAGTAATAGTTAATTATAGTACATACCTATTGCCCTACAGAACATCGCCTCTGCTAAGCGCGCGCCTAGCCAGCTAGCCATGCTCAAACAGTGTTAGAAAATCAAAACACTAAACTTTTTTGACGAAGTTAAGCATGGTACCCCAGTCTCACCGTAGATTGTCGCACTGCTGGTTGCCAATATGGAACCAGGCAGGCTACCAGGTTGACCGTTTTAGCCGATTTTCGGCTACATTTGACCGATTTTTTGTTAAAAAAATGAGTTTGACAGAAAATTTGACAGAATGGATTTTTTTGGCAGATTTCTACCAGAGATTCTGCAAAAATTGTTATTTTACAGAAAACCATAGCAAATTTGAAAAAAATGGTAATTTGTTTAAAAAGTCTTCAATGTTTTCAAATAATCATTTGCATAAGGAGACAGGTTGACCGGGAACCGGACTTCACTCCGCAACTGCATTTTGCCTGAAATTTACGCAATAATTTCATAACATCTTTAGTAGTAAGGGAGGCGGGGGTGCTGGACTTTGTCATAGGTCTGTGGGTAGTACAGGGCCATTAATGAGAAGTCAGGGTGCTGGACTTTGTCATAGGTCTGTGGGTAGTACAGGGCCAATGGGAAATCCCCCGATCTCAAGAAAAAAAAAAAATAAAAAAATAAATCTAACGGAGAGAGAGTGAGAGAAAGAAAAAAATTAGCTCCTTACCCTGTAAAAGGTGAGGAGCTGTTTTTTAATATAAAAATGGAGAGTAATATGTTTAGACCGACGAGTATTTGAAAAATTAATAAAAAATAATATCGGTTTTTATTAAATAGATGGAATACTTTGGGACGTCACAACTTGGGGATAAGTGCGATCATCATATAATCATCGAGAATGGTTTTTTAATTTGTGAAACGTGCGGTGAAATAGTTTCACGTTATTTTGATTTTTCAGCAGAAAATGCGCAAGAAGATCGTATCAATTGGTCAACTTTAAAGAGAAACAAAAGAAAAACTGTGGAGAAACTTATTTTGTCTGTTTGTCCAGAGCAAGACTTAGAAGATGTCCAAGAAACAATCAATAAATATAACGAGCTCGTTAATTACAAAACATTGAGGGGAAACGGATGTGTCAAACGGTCGTTAATAGCCGCAAGTTTCCATCACGTCGTTGGATTAGACAAAGAACGAGTTAGAGATTTATTTAAAGTGACTCAAAATCAATTTAATAAAGCACTAAAAAGATACGATGACCACTACAATAAAGGCGGGGCTGAGGGTGACACTCTAAGAGGAAAGGTATAACTCGGTGGATCGTCTTCATAATGTTTATTTACCGAGAATTTGAACTTGTAAGTTTTTCGATAAGAGATTTTTTTTCCTTTGCCAGCCGTTCGTCTACCCGTTTTTTAACTTCTTTTTCAAAGTCCGTATCGTTTTTAATCTTTTGAAGCTTTGTGCTAGTCTTTGTTCTGATTTTTTGTTTAAGCTCGTTAAATTTTGCGAGCTCTCTCGTAATCAGTAAGAACTCTTCGTGCGATATATCTCCGTCGTTGATGGCTTGAGACACGTATTCTTCAATCGTGTTAAGTTTGGAGTCTGCTAATATTTTAATCTGGTCGTGCTTTTTTAGCTTGGCAGATAATCGCCTAGACGCGATTCTAAGCAGAATATCTACACCAAAAGCGCCTATAAACGTTCCTTCTAGCACCAATCCAACGGGGGTTGATATAACACCCAAGAGAGCGGGAATACCGACAGCCCCCGCTATAGCCCCCAATCCTTCTAATCCTATCTCTACGTAATTAATAGTGTCGATCACTCTCTTTATTTTTTTATAAGTGTGCTCTCGGTGGTCTCTCTCTTTTAAGATTAAAGATCGAATCTCTTCAATCTTTTTAAGTCTGTACACTTTTGTTTCTTCGTTACTATTTAATCGGAGTACATCTCCAGAAATATCGGGGTATAACACCTTACCATCTACACTCATGTTTTTAATATAAAAAGATTTTAAAATTAAAAGATCTCCAACTCTATCATGATACTCACACCCTTGTTGTTGATGATCTGTCCTTTTTCACCAATGATTGAAAATGTCAGTTTGTCGATTATACCGTTTTTAAGTTTCTTGAAATCCTCGACTCTATCAGGCTCGGGTTTGCGCGTACCCACGGGTACGATTTTTAAGATGTCAGACGGACGACCATCAAAAAAGTTTTCACTCGTACTTAATTGCGGGCAGCGAATAAACAAAAATTTAAACGGATTAATGTCGTAAGACCCCGTATATACCACTTTGGGTATCAGTCTTCCTTTGGGTAAATTGAGTAATCGAGAGACTTCTCTGTTTAAGCGCAATTTGAGATTGACGTCGGTTACAACCAACGTCACCTTTTTAGATTCTCTAAATATTCGAAAACTTACCCCGGGTATATAATTTAAAATGAAATCGAACCAATCGACGTCGTACCACCCAGGTGGGATGGTGACCGAACCGGTGACTCCAGCTGGTAACGGCGCTAAAAGACTCGGAGAAATAAAATCTAAATTATCACCAGACACGACAAGACTCCCACGTATTGTTATCCCAGCATTTCTAATTACTCTCGCTCTAGATTCGCTTATTGTACCTTCGATATATTCTAGCGCTACCCCTTTACCTGAATAGATGAAGCCTCTTCTTTCAAATAAAGTTGTTTTTAAAAATATAATCGTATTGTGTTGTACGTCGGTTAGTGTTTTGGTTTGTCTTTTATAGCTTAAAAGTCTTATAACATCTATAATTTGATCCATTTCTTCTTGGGTGGATTCTAAACCAGAGTCTAGTCTATCTTCTTCGTACGCTTCTATAAGATCGTTTATAACTCTATTGAAAGTATTTTCGTCGTTTATTAAAAAGTCGTAGGGGTACTCGGGTACCAATTGCGCAATAAAATCTCTATCTGTTCTTATTTCTACATCTGGGTTAACCCGTTCGGGTCTTATAACATCATCAGGTCTTTCAGCGGGTCTCCCATCTATTTGCGTATACCAATCAATCTCTGTGGCGCTAGAAATATTAAAATATCCGGGGTTAAACATTACCCTTTTTACGCGTACAGATTTTTGACCGTTTAAATTATCTACGACGTCTTCTAATTTAAACGTCTGCTCATTTTGAAACAAGTGAAACGAATGCATTTATTTTAAAGTCTTTTTATATTAAAACTGAAACTAAAATAATGGCTGCTTTTATGTTGTTAAAAAAGCAGATACAATCGATAGCCGATCAGGTAACGCATCAAGTAAACCAAAATGTAGCCAAGGCAACCGAGCTAAAGCATCAAGTTGCATCCCAAGAAAAGTTTTTAAACAGCACTAAACCCAGTGAACTGGAAGTTATAGTTAATAATACCAACGGGTTTTTAACCTTGTTTCCCGACTTAACCTCAGACTATAAATTGCCTCGCATCACAACGGATGAGGATGTAGATCGTTGGAAATCACACCCCATGTCGTTTTATCAAAATCAGTTAAATTTTGCGATCTATTGCGCTACTACGGGCTGCGGTGTTGGATTTGATCTTTTAAACGCGAGCAACCGTTACGTTTGGGCCATCTTTAACTTTCATTTATATTTTACGGTTAGAAAGATCCTGTACGACTTTGCCGCTCCTTTACCGGGAGATGACGCATTTAAAGCTCTAGACAACAGTTATAATCTCAGAGCATTTATCGATACCTGTTTGTTGTTTGGCATAGATCAAAACAAGTCTTTTAAACAGACGAGAGACACAAACTCTAACGGTTTAGGTATAGCTTATTACTGGGACACGTCTTACGTACCCGTACCCGGAAACGATTATGATACAACCGACCTTAATCTCGAGTATAGTGAGTATCATAAAGATATGATGAGTGGAACTAAAATGGGGTTTGGTCTGGACGATCCACCCAAGGGTTCGGGGCGTTACAGCGATTACACCGTAGCATTTATCGAACAAAATGAATCGGTACAAAAGGCTTGGTTAGATTTTATACCCAACAAGAGTTCATTTACCCCCATGGGAATCATAAGGATCAATGAATCGATCAGATCTTATGTATACGCTTTACTCGGTGCGCAGGCTCAAACAAGAACGAGTGTCTTAACACCAGGCACTGGATTAGACGCTCAGAGACAATTTAACGTCATCGTTGAAGATATCATCAATGCAGTAGACGATATGGAAACGAGTATCAATCAATTTCAAGACTCGCTGCAGTATGCCAGAACACCTTTAAATTTTGTCGTAAAACCGGGGTTATATTTAATTCCATCGGATATGAACTTAAGGATTGGAACGCATGAAGGTTATAACAACAATCTTCAAATCGCTACCCAGAGTATGAACACTGGTTTGGTGCCAGATTTAAACTCACAACCTCAACCGGATGACTCTTTTGATGACACCGATGACGTCGCGCCACCAACACCCCTAGAGCCTATGACAAACGATGTTGTATCACCAGCACCAGCACCAACACCAACACCAACACCTACACCAACACCAACACCAACACCAGCACCTACACCAACACTAACACCGGCACCAACAGTTTTAACCCAACCCACGAAACTACAAACTCACCAAGACGAAAAATTATCGTTGACGGTAGGAATATTAGCTATTATGGGTATGGGTATTTTAGCTTACGAGGCAACGCGATAAGTCACACTCTAATCTCACAAAAAAATAAGCCTTACCAACTTTGTGCTGGTAAGGCTTATTTTTTTTTGTTTAAACTTGATTACAACTACCATCGTTTTTGCAGGTACGCAAACACCAAGGCCCCCACACCCAAAAACAAAGCCCACACGTGTTCGGCCAACCACGATACGGACTTACTCAGCGCGTTAAATAGCCAACTCAGTATGCTACCTATGATGCCCGGCAGAGCACCCAACGCGCTCACTCCGATTTTTTGAAGAGCAGATGCAAAATTAGCGAGTTGTTTTGAAATCCACTCTTTGATACCGCCTTTTGGTGGTGTTGGTGTTGGTGTTGGTGTTGGCGTGGGTGGGGCACCCGCGCCTCTCACGCTAGCGACGATGCTACTCACTATCG